TAGCATAACCTTCTTTGCATGTCTGATGTCTCAGATACATAACTGTGAAAGATTTGCAAGCCTTGTGAGAGGAAGAGATCTGTATTTGCCTTAACCTCTGATTTAACCTCGAGTTACACTGAATTCAGTGGGGTTAGTCCAAGTCGAATGCAGCCTTTTTGTCATATTTTGGATGTGTGCAAGAAATATGTGCTTATCATTTTTAACAACTATTATCTCACATGCAAAAAGCAATGCATACCTATATATATATATTGGTATGCATTGCTTTTTGCATGTGAGATATATATATTATAAGTGCAAAAATATTTTTAAACAGCACAGTCTGTTTGAAGATTGAAATTGGTAGAGATCTCATGGGCTCTTTTCACAGTTCTTTTTACAATTTATTTTATTCTCTCCATCTCTATCTCTCTCTCCCTCTCTACTATTTTTTGTCAGTGTTTTATAAGTTGACTTGTAGCTATTTGTCATCTTTTTCTGCCTTAATACTTGCCAAAACCCCATGGTTGACTATATTAGTTTTGGTTGGAGTGGTGTAAGTTATGTCTTGATGTTTAAAGGCAGGCACTTTAACAAAAAAAAAAGAAGAGAGATAACCTCATTCGTTTTGACATTTGCTTCTATTATTAGGGAAGAATAGTCCCTAATAAGATATTCACAGAGTTGATTTGTTAGTTTATAACATAAGATGTCTGTATTTTAATAAGCTGAGTTCTAAGCAAGTAAGTTTACATTAAAAATGCCCGAAAGCGTAAGGTGCATTTTATCTGCAAAACAACTTTTGCGTAGGGTTATTATATGTTTGTCCATCTATTCCTTTTGGGTGCAGAACCTAACATGGTGAAAGAGTTTGAGTAAGTAAGGAAAGGTGAGAGCGGTGCTGGCAGGAGGCTAGGTTCTGTTAGATTCAACACAGTTATCCAAGGAGGAATGGTTGAAGCTGAAACACCAGACAAAGAGGCACCCATCATTTTTAGGGGTTAATGGTTACATCAGCAAAAGAGAATTGAAAGTTACAATGGTGATGAAGTAGAGAAAATATTGAAGGACAGCTATTAGGTGATAGGATTAGTGGGAAATGACTCTGGTGAATGATCAACAGACAACAAGAGTTATATTCAAGTTAATTCTAATGCTTCAATGTACGAACGCACCTCTACATAACAAAACAAAACAAAAAACAGCCAGAATGGATTAATTTGTTTTCAGTCCATTCCTATGGGAAATTTTGCTTCAACTTAAGAACGTTTCAACTTAAGAACACTATTCCAAAACCGATTAAGTTCTTAAGTAGAGGTTCCACTGTATTAGGTGATAGGATTAGTGGAAAATGACTCTGGTGAATGATCAACAGACAACAAGAGTTATATTAAAGTTAATTCTTATAAGTATAATGTGGAAGAAGGCTATGTTGAGACAGTTCAAAATGGAACAAGAAATACTGCTGAAAGATGAGATTCCTAAGTCTGCACACTCTAGTCAATTCATGGGAAAGCAAAGGAAAAGCTACCAGTGTAGAGAGGCAGCAGGAAAGCCTGGTGCTGCACAGTGCATAATTAGAATGTGAAACACCAGCAGTATGAATCAGAATACTCTAAACTGTAAAACCAAAAGTGGAATAAATATTGTAATATTTGATCTAAGGAAATGGAAGTGAATTGGAACAGGACATTTTCAATCAAATCATTTCAATCTGATCGCAATCATTTATCTGGAAGCAACAAATACAGAAGGAACAGTGTGGCTCCAATAACAAGGCAGTACATGAAGCAGATACTTAAGGACTATAATGCAAAGCCTAGGCAAATAATATCACTTGGGCTTCTTGGAAAACCTATCAGCCTAACCATCATTCAGTTCTATGGTCCACTTATAAGTGCTCAAGAAGAAGAAATAGAAAGCTTTTATGCAAGCATCCAGAAGGAAATTTAAGACATCCTGAAACAGGATGTACTGATAATCGTAAGTGACTGGAACACAAAAGTGAGAATTAAAGGAGAAACAACCATTATTGAACAATCTGACCTAGGAATCAGAAATGAAGTACAAGTGTGAGAGAATTCCAGAAAAAGGAATTGCTGGAGATTGCTACAGATTATCACATTAGTTTTCTATGAAAACAAAGTAATGCTCAGGATCTGCAGCAAGCAGTTTTATGTGGAGCAAAAAGTGCATAGTGTTCAAAGTGCGTTCAGAAAAAAAGAGGCACTGGAGATCATCTTGTGAATGTAAGTTGTCTACTAGAGCATGGCAAAGAATTTCAGAAGAAAATCAGGGGACAAATAGATGGGAGAATTTGAAGCAATCCATGTTGCGTTTAAAAGGCTCTTTGGTGTGATCTACTTTATCCTGCACTTGAGCAATCCTTCCATTCACATGGAAGACTTTTCTTCCATGAGAAGGATCCAGACAGCACTTCAGATTGCTCCAATGTCTCTTCTTTTGATTATTGACACCTCTCCCTCTACTTCTTTCCTTGCCTTTTGTCATGGCTTCATTCCACAAGCTATAGTGACTTCCCTTTTTTTTTTGTTTTAGTACTGTAAATGACACACCATTACAGCACAACATCAAACACTGTGCCAGAAAGGAGCAGAATAGTGGATCACATTTACTTAAAACGCGTGTGATCACTGGAAAAAAGGGTGAACCAGCCCATACCAAAAGCGAACCATAGAATGAATTATATGTCCTTGCCTTTTGTCATGGCTTCATTCCACGAGCTAGAGTGACTTCCCTTTTTTTTGGTTTTAGTACTGTGACACACCATTACAGCACAACATCAAACACTGTGCCAGAAAGGAACAGAATAGTGGATCACTTTTACTTAAAACATGTGTGATCACTGGAAAAAAGGGTGAACCAACCCATACCAAAAGCGAACCATAGAATGAACTATATGCTCATCTGATCACACACACCCCTCAGTCTATGCTTTATGGGTTATAGTAAAGTTTTTGACTATATAGATGAGGAAAAACTATTGATCATTCTTAAAGAAATGGTCATTCTGCCACAACCAAGGTTCCCTCTAAGCCAGGTATGTGCATGTGCGACTCCCCTTTCCTCTGCACAGCTGTCTCCCTCCTCTGCTCAGCAATCACATTACCTTTCCTCTGCACAGCTGTCTCCCTCCTCCGCTCAGCAATCACATTCAACCCCTTTGGTTCTGGTCACGACAGAACCCTGCTCAGGGGGGCAAAGCCGCGTGTACATGTAGGGTGACGTTGCGCACACAAGAGGCAAAGCCCCACCTTGGGGGGCTGAAAATTAGAGGGTATGTTGGCCACAACATCTGATTGTCTTCATATACAGTTTGATCACTGAACAAGAGAATATTGGTAGGACAGAATGGTTTCCTATCAGCAGAGGTAACAGCCAAAAGTGCATTTTATCCCCCCATTTCTTCAACATATTATAGAAGAATCTATAGAATATATCATTCAAAAAGATGGATTAGATTCAAATGGAGGATTCAAAATTTGTAAAAGAAGTATCAGTTTAAGATAGATGGCACTATATTACTGGCAGAAAATTCATTTATTTGTTTATTTATTTATTAACTTATATGCCGCCCACTCTACCAAAAGATCTCTGGGTGGCTTACAACAATTAAAATACAATTAAAATGCGCACTCTAAAAATTGCCATCAGGACACACAGTTGATGTTATTTCAATTAAAAGCCTTCTGGAACAGGAAGTTTTGACCTGGAGCCGAAATGTCATCAGCGTCGGTGCCAGACGAATCTCAGTTGGGAGGGCGTTCCATAGTTTGGGGGCAGCTGCCGAAAAGGCCCTTTGTCTACAAGCC